GAAGGATACCCACCAGATGTCAGCCTCAGCTCCCCTTTATGAGGTGTCTGTTTGGATATATGGGGGTCGGTGAGCTGCTTGAGGAGAGAGTCTGTCACTTATAGGAGCTCAAGTGCTGAGTTGTGAGCTCCATTGTTCCGTTCACGGCCGCTGGGCAGGTACATGTAAGTCTTTTGCAGCGAAACTCATAACCGCATTTTTTCCCAAGTGCTCTGTCCTGGGAAGGTGGGGTTTATTTATAAGTTCCTGACATGCTGCTGCCTTTTTTCAGAGCTGTCTTGTTCAGCAAGGAGGTAGCCTAGTCACAGTCTGCCAGCAGAGGCATTGCTGAGCTGCTGTGGACTCTGCCCAGCTGGTGTATGAACTTCCTTGCAGTTTTGTTTATAGAGGTATAGTTAGAACTGCCTCGGTAGTGGTGGTCTGCCTCAGAGATGGCAGACTGACTCTGTAATGGTGGACTGCCTTAGTAATGGTGGATTGCTTCACTAATGGTGGACCGCCTCAGTAAGGGCAGACTGCCTCAATAGTGGCAGACTGCCTTGGTAATGCTGGATGCCCTTCCCCCCCCAACAGAGCTGGACCATCCTGGGTCCAGCTGCACTTGCTGTGAAACTCTCAATCCAGAGCATTTCAGATTGCTAGTCTTTGTGGGGGTGGGACCCACCAAACCAGATCAACTGGCTCCCTGTTTCAGCCCCCTTTTTTTTCAGTTAAATGGATGGCTCTGTCTCCCAGGCATTCCAGGTGCCAGTTGAAATAGCCATCCAGATTTGTGTGAGTTTTTGTGTAGACCCGCTGCACCGGCTGAAACAGCAATGCTAGAAACTCATGGTGCTTTTCAGCCCAGGAATCTCCTCATCTGTGGGAAGTAATAAGTCATCTGGAAACGTAATGATCACTCACCCTCTGAGTTGTTCTTGCTGGGAACTGCAATCCAGAGCTGTTCTTATTTGGCCACCTTGGATCCCTTTTTCGAACTCAACCTTTTTTATGGCTGCATAGTATTCCATGGTGTATATGTACCATATTTTCTTTATCCAGTCTATCACTGATGGGCATTTGGGTTGGTTCCAAGCCTTTGCTATTGTTAACAGTGCTGCAATAAACATATGCATGCATATGTGTTTATAGTAGAATGATTTATTATCCTTTGAGTATATACACAGTAATGGGATTGCTGGGTCAAATGGTATTTCTAGTTCTAGATCCTTGAGGAATTGCCACACTGTTGTCCACGATGGTTAAACTAATTTACACTCCCATCAACAGTATAAAAGTGTTCCTATTTCTCATCGTCTCCAACATCTGTTGTTTCCTGACTTTTTAATGATCGTCATTCTAACTGGTGTGAGATGGTATCTCGTTGTGGTTTTGACTTGCATTTCTCTAATGACCGGTGATGTTGAGCTTTTTTTTTTTTTTTAAATTATTTAATACAGTGTTTTAATAGCTGGGATGAGCTTTTTTTTCATATGTTTATTGGCCTCATAAATGTCTTCTTTTGAAAGGTGTCTGTTCATATCTTTCACCCATTTTTTGATGGGGTTGTATGTTTTTTTTCTTGTTGATTTGTTTAAGTTATTTGTACATTCTGGGTATTAGCCCTTTGTCAGATGGATAGATTGAAAAAATTTTCTCCTATTATGTAGGTTGCCTGTTCATTCTGATGATAGTTTCTTTTGCTGTGCAGAAGCTCTTAAGTTTAATTACATCTCATTTGTTCATTTTGGCTTTTGCTGCCATTGCTTTTGGTGTTTTAGTCATGAAGTCTTTGCTTATGCCTGTGTCCTGAATGGTATTGCCTAGGTTTTCTTCTAGGGTTTTTATGGTTTTAGGTCTTATGTTTAAATCTTTAACCCATCTTGAGTTAATTTTTGTATAAGGTGTAAGGAAGTGTCCAGTTTCAGTTTTCAACATATGGCTGGTGAGTTTTCCCAACACCATTTATTAAATAGGGAATCCTTTCCCCATTGCTTGTTTTTGTCAGGATTGTCAAAGATCAAAGAGTTGTAGATGTGTGGTTATTTCTGAGGCCTCTGTTCTGTTCCATTGTTCTATATATCTGTTTTGGTACCTGTACCAAGGTATTTTGGTTACTGTAGCCTTGTAGTATAGTTTGAAGTCAGGTAGTGTGATGCCTCCGGCCTTGTTCTTTTTGCTTGGTATTGTCTTTGCTATTCAGACCCCTTTTTGGTTCCATATGAAATTTAAAGTAGATTTTTCTAATTTAGTGAAGAAAATAAATGGTAACTTGATGGGAATAGCATTCAATCTGTAAATTGCTTTGGGCAGTTTGGCCATTGTTACAATATTAATTCTTCCTCTCCATGAGTATGGAATGTTTTTCCTTTTGTTTGTGTCCTCTCTTATTTTCTTGAGCAGTGGTTTGTAGTTCTTCTAGAAGAGGTCCTTTATGTCCCTTGTAAGTTGTATTAATAGGTATTTTATTCTCTTTGTTGCAATTGTGAATGGGAATTCACTCATGATTCAGCTCTCTATTTGTCTATTATTGGTATAGGAATGCTTATGATTTTTGCACATTGATTTTGTATCCTGAGACTTTGCTGAAGTTGCTTATCATCTTAAGGAGATTTTGGGCTGAGAGGATGAGGTTTTCTAACTATACAAGCGTGTCATCAGCAAACAGAGGTAATCTGACTTCCTCTCTTCCTATTTGAATATCCTTTATTTCTTTTCTTGCCTGATTGCCCTGGCCAGAATTCCAATACTGTGTTGAATAGGAGTGGTTAGAGAGGGCATCCTTTCCTTGTGCAAGTTTTCAAAGTGAATACTTGCAGTTTTTGCCCATTCGGTGATATTGGCCTGGGTGTGTCATAAATAGCTCTTATTATTTTGAGATACATTTCATCAATACCTAGTTTATTGAGAGTTTTTAGCATGAAGGGGTGTTGAATTTTATTGAAGTCATTTTCTGCATCTATTGAGATAATCATGGAGTTTTTGTCATTGGTTCTGTTTATGTGACGGATTACATTTATTGATTTGTGTGTGTTGGACCAGCATTACATCCCAGGGATGAAGCCAACTTGATTGTGGTAGATAAGCTTTTTGTTGTGTTGCTGCATTCAGTTTGCCATTATTTTATTGAGGATTTTTGTATCGATGTTCATCAGGGATATTGGCCTGAAATGTTCTTCTTTTGTTGTGTCTCTGCCAGGTTTTGGTATCAGGATGATGCCAGCCTCATAAAATGCGTTAGGGGAGTCCATCTTTTTCTGTTGCTTGAAATAGGTTTAGAAGGAATGCTATGAGCTCCTCCTTTTATGTCTTGTAGAATTTGGCTGTGAATTCATCTGATCCTGGGCTTTTCTTGGTTGGTAGTGTATTAATTACTGCCTCAGTTTCAGAACTTGTTATTGGTCTATTCAAGGATTTGACTTCTTCCTGGTTTAGTCTTGGAAGTGTGTATGTGTCTAGGGATTTATCCATTTCTTCTAAATTTTCTAGTTTATTTGCATAGAGGTATGTATAGTATTCTCTGATGGTAGTCTGTATTTCTGTGGGATCAGTACTTATATGCCCTTTATCATTTTTTATTGTGTCTATCTGATTCTTCTCTCTTTTTCTCTTTATTAGTCTGGGTAGCAGTCTATTTTGTTAATCTTTTCAAAAAAAGCAGCTCCTGGATTCATTGATTTTTTTGAAGAGTTTTTGGTGTCTCTACTTCCTTCAGTCGTTCTCAGATCTTTGTTATTTCTTGTCTTCTGCTTTCTTTTGAATTTGTTTGCTTTTGTTTCTCTAGTTCTTTTAATTGTGATGTTAGGGTGTCTATTTTAGAAGGATCCCATCTATGGTTTTGGATGCACCAAGTGTAGCATGTTTGTTTGGAACATCCTGATTCCTGGATATAAAACAGTGAACAAGACAAACTTCAGACCTATAGACACTTCTCATTATAGAGAAGAAAAAAATACATGCAAATTGGCAAATATACAAGAGTGATAAAGGCAACATGACTGGATGCTGTGGAAGTGCGTGAGGGGGCCACCCACCTCAGAACGAAGAGATAGAGTCACATTTTCTGAGAATAAAAGATTATATTTTTGCTGAGATCTGAATGAAAAAGGCAGGCTGGCAAGAGGAGAGGAGGGGAAGAGAGATGGAGGAAGAATGTTTAGCCAGGGTTCATTGCAAGCTCTTAAAGATAAAGAGAGAGGATTGTGCTTAGGGAGTAGAAATAGTTGCATGCAGGAGCAAAGAGGCACTAAGAAAAGCTGAAGGCCACAAGAGGTTAAGTGACTTGCCCAGTGTGTCACCCACTCTGTCTTCTCTTTTGATTCATTAATGAACTTGTTAAATTGCAACAGATTCATTCATCACAAGTACAATTATATGCCCCGGGAATTTTTCTGTCAAAAATGCTGTTACAGTATATTCTCTGATAAATCCTCACCCTAGACTTGAGCTTGGCAGTTCTCAGATGGCAGCAACTAATCCTGGTCATCTCTGCACACCCTGCAGAGCCTGTTTGTTGCCTTGCACACAGTTCATCTTTTCAGAGGTGTTTTGGTTGCTGAGATCCACATTAATGTAAATAACTGAAACATAAACAGTGATTGTAGGAAGATGTTTGAGCTTCATTTGAGGGTTTCTTCATATGCAGAAGCTAAATGCAAAGACATTCGAAAAAAGCCAAAAGCAAAAGCATGACAGCTTCTTTGATAGCATCCTGTTTGCTAGTCTCATTTGCTTCTGGTTTTCTTCCTGTTAGCAGTCAATACAAGTCATCTGTAAGTCAAACAAAATTGAATTGATAAAATGATAAATTGACATGAGCCAATCTTAAGGGAGTCCTAAAATCATTAAAATGTGCTTTGCTTCCATTTATAACAATGTGCATGCAATACTGCATTCACATAATCAAATTATATTATAATTTTATTTTGAAAAATCAAATATATTTCACATTATTTTGATGCCAAAATACCAGGGTAATTTGTCGCTAATGGATGATTATGTTTGCTTTCTTCTTTTATTAGGTTCATGAAATTTTCAGGAATTAAAAGTTAGTCCTGAGGAAAGTTCATGAATGTCTAATGCTGGGCTGTGGTAAGTCCTCAGTCTTCAGCCATTTTTATCTGGCAATAATATATACTTAGTTTGTTTGTCTGGGTTGGTTAAAAGCAGAATTTGTAATTTTGATCCATATTATCATTTCTTGTTATGGTTATTCTCAGATATTTCATATTATTTCTGTTAAAAAAGATTATCACATAGTTTTCTAATTTGTTATAGTAATAGTGTATTCCCCTTATGTTTTTCTTTTGAATTCCTCATATTACTAGCAGTAACAAACATGCTATTAGTCATAACCTTTTCTCCAAACATTTTACTAATGAATCATTTTAAATATTTTGGTAAACTGAAAACATTTTGAAGGAACATTTATGTACCACACTTCTTGTTTCTACCATTAACAGTCTACTTGTTAATCTTTTTCAGCTGATATATATATATATATATATATTTTTTTTTTTTTACTTAATTTTCTGCCATATTCCTTTGTTTGAATTTTATACTTTACCCATTCTATTGTTTGTGAATGGGCTGTTTTCAGTTTTTGTCTATTATGAAGCATTCTATAATAGACATTCTTGTATAATTTTTTGTTATATATTTGTATTCATTGCTATGGTGTATATATCTAGGAGTGGAATTGCTGGTGTATAGGATTTATGCATATACAGCTTTAGTATATATTGCCAAGAGTTTTCCGAAGTAGTTATATTAATTCCAAAGTGGTTGTATTAATTTAAAATCACAACAGTATATAAGAGCTATAGTTCCTCTGTATTCTCACGAATTCTTGGAATTGTTATTCTTGTTTTTTTATTTTAAAGCTATTTTGGTAGATGGATATCATGTTTTATTGTTGCCCTAATTTGGATATTCCTGGTGACTAATGACATTGAGGATCTTTCCAGGTTGTTTGTTTTTTTTTGTTGTTGTTGTTACTATAGTTTTACAAAAATCTTGGTATATGATAGCGTAACTCCTCCAAATTTGTTCTGTTTTAAAATTGTATTTCTTAGTGTCCACTCTTTGTGTTATAATTTGCCTTCTTTTTGAGATGGGATCTCACTCCATTACCCAGGCTGGAGTGCAGTGCCACAGTCCTGGCTCACTGAAGCCTCAGGATTGTGTGTGTGTGTGAAATGCCTGCTGTATACTTTTACTCATTTAAAAATTAGATTGTCTCCTTTTTCTTATTAATTTGAATAATAACTTCATATATTCTGTGAGTCTTCTATCAGCTATATGTATTGGAAACCTCTGGCACTCAGTGGTTTGACTTCTTAACATCTTAATAACTTTTTATGAACAGAAGTTTTACTTTTTAATGAGGTCCAAGTTATCAACCTTTTTGTTTATGATTGGTGCTATTTCCGTCTTGTTTAAGAAATCTTTGGTAGTTACAAGGTCATGAAGATATTCTCCTATGTAATCTTTTACAAGCTTTATAATTTTACCTTTCACATTTCAGTCTTTAAGTCACATTAAGCCAATCCATCTGGAACTTATTTTTATGCATGAAGTCTAAGGGTCAAGGTGTTTAAAAAATTTTTCCTCCCATATGATTATCCAGTTAATCACCACCATTTATTGAGAACACTATTATTTCTCACTGCACTGTAGTAGGATCTTTGTTATAAAGTAGGTAACCATACATGTTTGAGGCTACTTCTATTATGTTCCGGCAGTCTATTTGTCTCTGCTTATGCCAGTACCATAGTGCTTTTGTTACTATATTTTTACAATAAGCTTGGTATCTAATAGTGTAACTCCTCTAAGTTTGTTCTCCCTTAAGATTGTATTTCCTAGTGTCTACTCTTTGTGTTATAATTTGCATTCTTTTTGAGATAGGGTTTTACTCCATGATGCAGGCTGGAGTGCAATGGCACAATCATGGCTCACTGCAGCCTCAACCTCGTAGGCTCAAGTGATCCTTGCACCTCAGCCTCTTGAATAGCTGGGACTACAGGCATGTGCCACTATGTCTGGCTAATTTTAATTTTTAAGTTTTTGTAGAGACAGAGGTCTGTGTTGCCAGGCTGTTCTTGAAATCCTGGGCTGAAGTGATCTTCCCATCTGGGCCTTGCAAAATGTTGGCATTATAGGCATGCACCACTTCACACAGCCATCATTTGCATTTTACAATGAGCCCATCAATTTCACCATAAACAAACAGCTGGAATGTTTATTGGAATTGCATTAATTTTATACATACATACACACATATATATACACACACATATATGTGTGTGTATATATGTACACATATGTACAAACATATACACATATATATGTGTATACACACACACACACACACACACACATACACATATATATGTGTGTGCATATATATATGGTACCAGGTGAAGATAAAGAACTCAGGTGAATCCTGGAGAACACAGGCTTCATATATATATATATATATATACACATATATATATATATACACTTTGGAGTCAGTTGACAACTTTATGACATTGAGTTTTCCAGTTCTCAGGTATACCATAATATAAACCCTCACTTGTATATATCTTCAGCTTCTCTTGGCAATGTTTTGCAGTGTTCTTGGTTGAATTACTTTCAATGGATATACTATAAGGTGTTTGATCAAATCTTTTAGAAATGGTATTATTTTGAAGCTTTATTTTTTAACTTTAGTAGATAGGATATCTAATGTCCTTGCTCCAGATTAATTTGTATCTTATGTTATCTAAAAATAATGGTGGCTCTATATCTCCATTTTCTATCATTATTTCTTTTTTTGATAGCCTCTCCAGGACAGTGTCACATAGAACTGGTTTTAGTAGACCTTCTTATTTCATGTGTAATGATAAGAAAAAAGCTCAAAGGAAAAGACTTCTACAATTCACTTAAAAATATTTATTGTAGGTTTAAAAGTTCTTTATCTTCACTTTATTAGGTTATTCCTAGTTTGTTGAAAATTATCATAAAATGGAAGACATTGTTAATTCTGTCTAAAGAGTTGAATTTATATTTATAAAATTGTTCACAGTGTCTCTAGTCTTTTTTTAATTGAGGCAAAATTTATGCATAGTGAATTATACAGATCTTAAGTTTATATAATTTGGTAAGTTTTGCCCACATATTCAACAACACTGTAAAGATTTAGAATATTTTCATTACTAAGAAATTCCCTTATGCCCCATTCCAGTAAATCTCTAACACACGTTTGACTTCTTTCACAGATTAGATTAGTTTTTCCTTTTCCTGAACTTCAATAAAAAAGGAATAATAGGACCGTATTTATTGGGAGGGGGATTTTGAATGACCTGGCCTCAACAAAATGTCTCTGAGATTCATGCATGCTGTTACATGTATCAGTAGTTTCTTCTTCTTGTTGAGTAAGATGCCATTGAATGAATAGAACATTTGTTTATCAATTCTGTTGACAGTTGGATTGTTTTCAGTTTGGGGTTTTTGTGGTTAAAGCTGCAATCAGCAATTGTATAAAAGCCATTTTGTGGATATATCTATTACTTTCTCTGGGTATATAGAAGTGGAACTATTAGATATAAGATAGATGTACATTTGAATTTGCCAAAGAGTTTTCCAGAGTGGTTTATTTATTTTACATTTACAGTAGCAGTTTATGAGATTTGCAGTTGCCCTATGTTCTTACCAGTTTAGTGCTGTGCTAAACTAATCTTGGTGGAGATTAGCTAAGGCCTCTCAGAAGTCTCAAGGTGTCATCCAAGCTTGGAGTATCATCAGATGCCTGAATGGGGAAGGATCTGTTTTCTAGCTTGTAGTCATTGGCAGGATTCAGTTCCCCATGGATTGTGGGGCAGTGGGTGTCAGCTACTTGCTGGCAATTGTCTGAAGGCTGCCATGAGTTATTTGCCATGTAGCTTTCTCTATAGGGCAGCTTACTTCACCAAGGCTAGCAATAGAGAGAATCAGTAGTTAACGTCTGGTAGCAGGGTAGAAATTACCATCTTATATAACGTACTCAAGGAAGTAACTTCTTAACAACTTTGCCTCATGCTCTTGGTTAGAGGCAAGTTACAGGTCCTGCCAATACTCCAGGGGAGGGGATTGTACAAGGGTATGAATAGAAGGAGGTAGGGATAATTGGGGCCATCTTAGAGTTTGTCCACCTCAACTAGTTTCAGGGATAATTAGAGCCCTTCATCAGAAATGTACTTTTTTTGCGTCTTAGCCATAACACCCTGGAGAGTAATGACACAACTTAATATGACCAAATAAATGTAATAGGGTGGACCATGTTGGGAGAACTCAGGGTTTGTAGTTAGATGTGTTCCTTCATATGGAAAAAGTCCAAGTATAGTCCAACAGGGGGTTCCAAACTGTGCTTCCTTAATGCCCCAACAGAAACGGGGCACCAACTATGCCTCCTGGCACATGAGGCAGATGTTCACCATCTGGGAATGTGTTAGCAGGCAGCATGTCTCTGTCAAGGCATGGGGATTTTCTGGCAGTATTCCAATTCTTGGGAGGGGCTTGCAAGAATATGGGTAGTGCTCTGATTTAAAAGTGGCCCCTCCAAATCTCAGATGTTGCCAAGGTGATAGCAGTAAGAGGTGGGATGTTAAGAGGTGATTAGTGCATGAGGGCTTCTCCCCTCATGAATGGAATTAAGACTGTTATAAAAGAGGCTTCACAAAGCATTTGTCTCTTGCCCTTCCTCCATGTGAGGGCATAATGTTACTCCCCTCTAATGGATGCAGCCCTCTCTAAACAACCAAACCTGCTGACGCCTTGATCTCAGACTTTTCAGCCTCAGGAACTTTGAGAGAAAAATGTTTATTCTTTATAAATTACCCAATCTGAGATATTTAGTTGTAGCAGCCCAAGAGAGACTAAGACAGGTAAGGAGCCAATACTGGGCATAATAGCAATATAAGGAAATGGGCCTAAGACATAACCGTCGTGTGTAATTATAAGGCAAAAGTTTTGGGAGTAGGCTTAGAGATAAGAAACATAGCTCTCAGGACTAAGGTACCAGGTGAAGACCAGCTCAGGCGAATCCTGGGGAATGCGGGGTTCTTAAATTC